GATCCAATTTACACCCATTATCACAAATGTGCAGTGGTGGTTCCAGGGCTGCCTCGCTGTGTACCATCAGAGGTACGTGTGTGCACAGCCTGTGGCTAAAACGCACCAAGTGTCCCCTGGCTATGCGCCCTGCTGGGAAGACTTTGTACTGGCCATTATCGCTCATTAGGAGGAAAAAACCCAACAGCAGGATGCCCTCCTCAGGGAGAAGGTTTCAAAAGCTTAGAAGTGAATCTGAGCACTTCTTTGGTAAATGCTGGGCTTGGATGCTAGAAAGGCCAAGGGAAATTATGTCTGCCCCCAGTGCTATTCAACATCTGCAGCCAAGCCAGGAATCAACTTCCAAGTTAATTTCAATAAATAATCATTCCGCAAATATGCACCAGTCAATGGAGAGAGCGCCACATGACTTCCATGTTTGCTTCCTCTTTCACTCTCTGCCTCCTCAGAGAAGGCCCCTTTCATACAGGAAGCTCAGGTCTCAGTCTTAGGACAGTAATGATGGACTGGATGCTGAATGAGGGCAAGGACAAAGCCGTCCTGGGGATGAGGCAAGATTCCTGGCTTGGATCCCAAAGAGCATGCAGGATTCAGCAAGTGGGACAGGGGTGGAGTGGTGAGCAAGTTAGTTACAAGATATGAAGGCTGGGAGTTTAGCTGAGCTGGGCGTGGTGCTGAAATGAAGACATGGGAAGCAGAGCAGTAGATGATAAGGCACGCTGACTCCAAGATGGAAAGGTCCTAAAGGAAAACATTACGCAGACAGCACCTTCTTCCTGACGTAATGCACTGGGGACCCCCATAGGATTTCACAGAACAACATATTTCCAATGGGAACAGTACATTCTGATGCCAAAAATAAACAAATTCAAATCTTTCCCCAATCATTCTACATTTAACTTTTCATCTGTAGAGCCAAAATAATGATTAAGATTTAAACTAAAGTCTAAGTTGATTTCTAAAGGGAGCTTCCATTATGCATAAATTGGTCGTCACCAAAATTTTTAAATGCTCCTACAATGAGCATATGAGGAAAATGTTTTAAGTCATCTGATAAAGTATAACTAGAGCACCCAATTCTTACAGGTCAATCATTCAAACACAATAATCCAACGTAAAAAAGAAAAATTAACAGATCTAAATCGTAATTTCTTCATAGAAGATATACAGCCAATAAGCAAATGAAATGATGCTCTGTATCATTAGCCATCAGAAAAATGAAAGTCAGAGTAACAATGAGATAACACACCTAAGAGGATGGCTTGAGTCAAAAAGACAATAACAGCTGAAGAAGAGAAGGTGGAGATTGGTGGGATTGTAAAAGAAGGCAGCCACTTTGGAAAACACTTTGGCAGTTCCTTAAAAGATTAGATTTATCACCTGACCAAGCAATCTACTATTAGCCATCACTACCACACAAGGGAGGTCTGGTGGTTTAGTGGAAACGAGTTGTGCTGCCAACCCAAATACAAGCGGTTCAAATCCACCACCAGCTGCTCCACGGGAGAAAGATGGGCAGTCTCCTCCCAGGTGATTTACTTCTGAAAATGCACAAGGTCAACTGAGTTGGTTCCAACTTGACAGCCTTAGTGAAGAGAAGTAAAAACACGTCCATACAAAAAGCTGTCAATAGCAGCTCACAATAGCCAAAAGGGGAAACAAATGTCCATCAACTGATGAATGAAGAGATATATTATCTCATACACATATGAACAACAGAATCTCACTCAGCAATAAAAATATTAAACTTGAAATAGTATGTTAAGTAAAAGCAGCATTTGAAAAAAAAAGCCCACATTTTGTTTCACTCCACTTACGTGAAGTACCTAGAACAGAGAAAGAGAACAGATTCATGGATTATGTCTAGGATGGAAAGGTCTGTTTAAGAAGTTTCTTTCTGGGATGTGGAAAACGTTATCTTTTATGATGACAGTTCCATTTACTCCAAATGTACTAAAAACCAATGAGACGCATACGCCACACAATGCACTGAAAGGCCTGTGTAGCTTAATAACAATGTTTGGTCATTTTTTGTTTGTTTTTGTTATGCTTTGTTATTGTTTTTTGTTTTTTAAAATGACTCCGCAAAGCTGAAATGCAAAGTAAACTCACAGGAGGGAGTATAGAATCTTCCTCGCTCAATTTAAAGGATCTGAACTAGGGCAAAGAAAACCAGGCGAGATTCTATTACTTAACATTCTAGGTACTAGGTCATATTAAAATATTAATGAGGATTTCCCCGTTTTAATACAGAAAAGGCATCGAAGTTAAAAAGGTCTTTCTCACAAGTGTCAGAAGAGTTTTCCTAACTAAGGAAGAGGGCGTCAGATGGAAAAGAAGCTTAAGAGTTTTTATCACATGGTTTTGTAGCCTGAATGTGAAAGTGGCACTCAAATGTATCCTTCCACCCTCAAAAAAAGAGGCCAGAAGTAAATCTAAATAGTTCCGTTCAATTACCCGTATCTGTTCCTAAAGCACCAATCTGTGATAAATTAAAATATTAAGAAAGTTAAAGTCCTGAGAACTGGGTTCATCCACATTCCCACTTATATAATTAAGCAAAAAAGAACTGATCCTTTTGGGCATTTCATTCCATAGGCATTAGAACAACTCAGCTTCCTTGGCACGTTTGCAGCAGATCCCAGAAGTGACAGATGCCTTAAGACCAAAATGTGAAACTTAATTTATAAAAACGTAAGTGTTTAAAAAATTATTTGACCAATCCTGCCTCTAGACCTAAATTATCTGTGAATAGACATAAATGCTGATTAGCACAATTAGCAAAATAACCACCATGAAAAATTTGGTGTTTGCAGCAACACTTCACTGGCATGCATCTACTAGAATTCACCAGGCTTTATTTATCTTTCCCAAGAAATCAAAACAAAAATTGACAAGGCACAGTCAGGACTGAAATGAAAACACACCAAGGTGTGGACCTGATTTTTAAGAGCAATCTTTGCTCACTTCTCAGTGTTCATGACTGCCACCTACCACAAAATATTGTAGCTCCAGGACTAAGAAACACACAATTCTCAGTGTACACACACACACACACTCTCTCTCTCTCTCTTAATATAAGCCATCACTCAGATCCAGTGCTTATCAGGCTTCAGGTCTTAACACGAGCCCTGAAACATACCACCAAGCAAGCAGTTTTCTTAAATCAGTGTTCTGAAAATGTACAAGATCCAGTCTCACAGAGGTTTTGCCATTTCTTTCCTTATATAGGGTCTAGAGAGAAAGAATAATCAACTGTTCTCTATTAGCCACTGCTTGTACTTAACCATGTTTCTATTGCAGCAGGCCCTGGTGTCTGGAGAGAATTCTGCCAGATAAGGACAATGAGATGCTTTATTATACAGAGTGACTAAGAATTCTTCAAGTACTGTTTTAGAATGTAATCCCAGGCAGGAAGGTTGTGGTAAGAGGGTCTGGTGTTTAGTGATAACTATTTCCAAGAGTAAACATCGCTGCCCAGCCTCCCCCACCCCACCCCCCC